CCCGTGCTCCAGCTGTGACAGACTGGCTCTTCCCATAGGGAATGGCTGGTGTCTGTGACTGACTGCTCAGCTCACAGCCTCTGGGAGCAGTCACGTATCTCAGGCATGTCTGTCCACATCAACTAGCGCAGGCACCTTGGTGTGCTTGGTGAGTGCTGGTCATAGGAGGCACTCTGCAGGAATGGACGGGCTGCTCGCCGCTGACAGCCTGGCAAGGGGACATTGTTGGGATAGTGGTGCTGGAAGAGAGACAGGGCTTTGTAAGACGAGCACTGAAACTGATGTGACCCTCGCTCCGTGTCTCCTTGCAGGATAAGTAGAAACAGTCTGAATTAGAGATGTGTTGTAACTGTCCATCTGCCTGCCGGCCGGCCAGCCAACCTGTTCCTCCTTCCCTCCTATCTAGTCAGGTAATCTGTCTTCCTTCTTCTATCTGATGACTATCCAGCTACACAGAGGACAGATGCCTGTATGCGTGTGTGCATGCCTGCTTGTCTGTCTGTCCATCTGTCTTCTTCTTTCTAGTATTTGCTGAACACCTTTCTGCAACTTTGGGACCAATCAGACAAGATCCCGCTTCCGGGTCCCAAAGTTCCCTCTCCCCTGATGTTCCTTGTCTTTTTTGGGAGGTCTGAGGAAGTGGAGTACAGAACAGCTCGGTGGGGTAGGGTAGAGTGCAGCCAGTGCCTGACTGGGCAGTCCTGTGCTGGACAACTACTTTATTTGAGTTCAGCAAAAATCACAGATATCACCGAGTAGGACAAAACATGAGTCTGGTTTGAGGGGGACACCTGCCCAGAAGGACCCTCTAGTGCCCTTTGTGCTGCCAAGGCTAGACTGGGTAGGAGCAGGGAAGTGGTTGAAACCTCGGCTGGCTTCCCTCTTCTTCAGCATCCCCTGCTCTGTGCTTCCTGCTTGCTTTCTTTCTTTCTTTCTTTCTTTCTTTCTTTCTTTCTTTCTTTCTTTCTTTCTTTCTTTCTTTCTCTCTCTCTCTCTCTCTCTCTCTCT